GGCTGAGCATCAACGTCAACAGGGAGATCGGCAAGGAGGTCTTGAGCAACGGGCTTTGGGTGACCCATCTCAGCAGTTTTGACAAGTCGTCGCCGACGTTTTCGTTCTTGTACTGGGACCAAGTATGGGGCCGAAGTAGATGGTTGATTGGTTGGGTCAGATGTTGACTCTTGATCTGTTCATGATGTAGATGTGGTTTGTGTTGTGGCAGTAGGAGGAGAAAGGCTTTTCTTCTTTCTTTTGGGGACGTCGGGCAAAGTCGATTTGTATGTAGGAATAAAGTTGAGAAGAAGAGGTGCTTTTCTTTTGTGAACTGGCAAGTCTAGGAGTTTTTTTAGGTCCTTACTGGGAACGTAAGATTGGCGGAAGTTTTTCGCTGGCTTGCGAACGTCTGCAAGAAGAAACAGACATTAAAGACAGATAAAATATTGAAGACTTGAACAGAAACAACTAAGTATAGACACTAGGCTCTTATCCTTGCCCTCTTTAACTGATCGGGGAAGAAGGTAGAGATGGGCGTCCTCGTCTGCGCCAAACTCCCAGTTTCCCGAAGCAATAACATAATCATCGCTAGCCCCCTTGTTGGAGTCTGGGAGGTCGGCATTTTGAATTCAGTGGACATCGGCTTAAGATAATAAACGAAGCCTTTTTCCTTCAGATTAAGGGCGCACATGGTATAACAGTATTGTATGTCGGCTAAGGTGATCCTAACATTTTCCTGTTTAGCTAAGGCGATAATACCAAAAATCACTCGATAAGAGTTGATTGTCAGTTGCATGGGGTTCAACTTATAATAATGAAGAATCTCGCGAAAGAGGATGTTGAGTGGGAGCCGGAGTCCGCACTTAGTAAAAGCTACAATGGGAAGGGGCATGGCGTTTTCTGTAGGCATGATGGAGTCATCATCCCCAGCAAGTTTTCAGGTGGACATCGGTACGAATGGAGAACTCTTGCCTAAAGTACTCTAGTTTGGTCGGGGTATCTACCCTGTGCCTCCACATACCCATAACGTCGGCCTAAAATCAAAGGGCTAGGTTTCAGAAAAAAGATGCTCTTAAAAGGTTATCGGGACCTCGGCGAAACCTAGGTATATGTTGGTAAGGACTGTTTCAGTTTTTTCCTAAGAATTGATAGGTTCTATAGACAAGTCCCAAACCTAAATCTATGAAGGCGAAGATTGAAAACAAAAATCGAAGGCAGAAATCTGGAAAACAACACAGGAAACAAGAAACCAGAACGTAGTTTCAGAACGAAGAACAGAAGTGGGGTTCTCAAAAGCATAAAGAAAACGAGAACTACAAGGCCAAGAACAGTGGCAAAAATGCAAGAAGTAGTGAACAATAAGTATGATTCACGGAATTAACAGTTTAAACAGAACAATAATGGCAGCAAGAAGATAGAAGAACATCAGTAAACTGAATACATAAAGAATAGTGGCTTACCAGAGAAATTGAAGCCGGAATGAAGTTTTCCGAAGACAGACGACGGTTACAGGAGTGACAAAGTAGCGAGAGCCTCACCAGAGAGACGAATGAAGTTACAGAACCTGGAGCTTGAAACAATGGTGGATTCGAGAGAAAAATTTTAGAGAGAGAAAAAAGCAAGAGAACTCAGATGCGAAAGTGAAGAGGCGAAAGAAAGGGGGAAAGGTTTTTATCAAAAAAATGAAAACGGCGCCTAAAAAAACGCATACGTCAGACGGCGCATATGAAGAAAAGATGACTTATGGGCGCGTCACAGGCACGAGCCAGTAAGAAAGAAACACGTGTCTAAAGCGGTTGAATTGAAGTGCATGACAGCTCATGCACGTAAAAAGTTCCTTAAAAATCTTTGATTTTTTAGGAAAAGCATGTCTGCCAGAAATGAATGATCTCGGCTATCAAGTCTTAAGCCGATTTACTGGAAGAAAATACTGATATAGGTTCCATCACCTCAGAATGCCAAGGTAATAGAACCTAGGGGGCAGTTGTGGGGATATATTTTCTGAATACCAACACGTGGCATGGTGACGCCGACGTGTCAGCCGAAGTGCCACGTGATCTGGTTGTGATGCCGAGGTTATCTCCGAAGATATCGAAATCTGAGATAATCGGATAATAGATAAGGGGGGCAAGAGTCCTAGAGTAAAGAGAAAACTTTGCTAAGATAAGGATAAAACTCTTAGGGAGTTTATCTTTATCTCTTGATAAATCCAAAGTAAGAACTGAATGGGAGTCCATAGAAGATAGGCTTCTAGTGGGACTAGGATTGAGTTAGCTATAAAAGAGAGGCACCCCCGTGGGTCTAAGGTACGTAGTTTTATGCTTAAGCTTGTGAGTTTAGAACTTGATTATCTCTGAGAGATATACTGACTTGATCATCGGAGTGCCCCCGGGTGGAAGAGCCACCGCCGGAGCCTTTTCTTTCTGTTACAGGTTTGCTGAAGCCATCTATTCTGTCGGTGCTCTCCAGCTGATTACTAGGCGGGCAGTGTGGTCAGAAAATCACCCACACAGCTTTGATTTTGATCCTAGGTATAACCTAGAAATTTGTGTATGAACCTATACATGTGAGAGATGGACCAAACCACCAAACTTTTCCGAATGCACAAAGTGGCCAGATGAAATTCTTGATAAATATGCAAATCTTTAGTGAATTTTTTTTTCTATATGATGAGCATGTGTGTGTGTTGGTTTTTCGTTTTCTCGCAATTATGGTAGCATTTCTTTTCAAGAGGCTTTGGAGATAGTGGGACGAAGTTCTTCATGAATGTGCAATTTTTGAGAGTTCATGGAATTTGATATGAGCATATGCATTTTTTATTTTATTTTTTATGACTAGTTGGTTCTTTTTTGTTTTTGTTATGAATGCTAGTGATCTTGATGATAACTTTGTTGGTTTGGGGTTGGCCTGGACTATTGCACATTTTGTTTTGCATTTGTACAAGTAGGAAATTCGACAGAAAGCATGGGGTGTATGATTCAAGTGGATTCTTTGATTTCTTCCCAATCATGGGTGGGTTTGGTTTACTTGATCTCCTCCTGGATTGATCACAATCAAATTGAATCAAAATGAATGATGTATTAAAATTAATATGAATGTTATAGTTAGATTAACATTTGCAATGACAATGTTGATTGAATAAAATGATATGCGGTCCTTTGAAGCAACCAACTCTTTTTTCTCTCTTTTAAACAGGCAACAAACCATATATTGGCAAAGTGTATCCATTCAACTGGAAATTGTGTATTCATTTAACTGACAATTGAACTCTAACATTAACAATTGACAAATACAGTAATCCATTTGGAATGAAAATATTAATTTCATTTATTAGCACTACCAAGACAAATAATTTTCAGCAACTTCTACATTTGCCAAACACAAGAATAACAAACTTGATCACTACCACAACTTAATCAAACAAATTTCAATATGATCTTGTCTAACAACTAAGAAAATAAAATTACATCCATGAATACCATTCAACACCAAAAAAAGGAAACAAAACGGCATTGTCTTGTTCTAAATCAAATGGCATCCCCAGTTTCTGTTTTCAATATAGTTGTCAACTCATCAACAACATTGCTTTGATCCACTAGCTGCAGCATACCATGAAAAACAATAAGTAATGGCAATCATATAAAAAAGTAGAAATACTTATACAACATATATAATCTCATCTTTTATCCATTGATGGGTGTCAATCTAATAGATTATCTTTGGGTTCATTGACTTAACTTTCCCTTGGCTCTGTTCCGTCAAGAGTGAATTTCTTCACTTTTTGTAGAGATAAAATGCATGAAATGTGATGAGAGGCAAGTTGTTAAGAACATGAGTAAAAAATAAGCACAATACGATGTTTTAGAAATGCAATGATACAAGAATCAAAATGATGTTAAAACACAAAATTAGCACTAACTTTCAGATAGTCAGATCTTTATTTGATGCACGACGAAATTATTTATGTCCTAGAGTCATTGATTTATCAACTTCCATAGCAAGCTTAAGCATACTATGCGAGGTTTTTCGGAGGGAAACAATAAGCAAAAGAGTCATGCAATTGAATTTACCAATATAAGTAAAAAAGAATAAAAGAAGCATTAAGTAGTGACAACAGATTTTATGGTATAATAGAGTGATGATCTGCAATTGAAGAGATGAAAAGATAAAAAAGAAAAGAGAAAAAAGAAAAAAAAATTAAGTACAACCAAATCACAATAAAATTTATTTGCTGTTGACCATTGAATATAGGGACAATCAGTACAAAATCCCGCTTATCAGCATTTCCATAAAGCAAAATATGTTTCCAATACAAATTACTGAACTTAGGGAACTTGAAAACTCTCCCCTAAGTTAGACAGACAAAAGCCTAATACATCTACAACAAATCTAACCCAATAAATCCACAATAAAACCCCCTTTCTTCTTTTTTTTATGTTTTAGAAAAAAGTGTTTTTTTTTTGCCTTTGGAGATTGGAAGAGGCCTCTAGGCGAGGAGAGGCGGCGGTCAGGCGAGGGGAGGCGTTGACAGCATCAATGTGTTGCACCTGTTGAGTATGGCTGCCATTGTCAAGGAAAATTTCGCGGTCATCATCAGAATTTTCTTTCCAATTTTCTTGGCCTCTCTTGCTTCATCATCATCAGCACACTCAAACAAGGTGATGAGTTCAATTTCTGTTCTTCCATTTTCCTAGTCTCTGAACAAAAAGTTTTCACTCTAGGATTCTTTATCCCCTAAAGGCCTCTTCTAATCTCTGTTCGTCACTTCTCTATTCGCCTCTTTGAAGAGGGGTTAGGATTCAAAATCTCAAATGAGGCTAAAAAGAAAAATAAGAAAAGAAAAGAAAAGAAAAAAAAGTTCAAAACGACGTCGTTTGAGACTACCACAAAGAGGGCTGCAGGAAAGTGTAGCAGGTGATCCGAGCTCTTTATTTATAGCCTTTTTGACCATTTCTTTTCTCACCTATATTTGTCATACCCGCCAACCCCAACAAACCAAGCACAGACAGCATCTCAATCTAATCGTCATCCACCTATTTTTCTTTTATTTTTTTAATAATTTACAATTTATTTTTATAATTCCTAAATCCACATATTTCCAAGATTCCAGACTTTAATTTCATTTTCAACGAATTCCAAAAGAAAACTTTCTACTCTCTCCCTCTCATGCCTTTTCATCTCTCCAATTCCCTCCTTCAGGTTCTCTCTCTCTCTCTCTTATATGTATCTACATGTATATGTATATATTATGTTTGAGTGTGTATTTGTTCGTGATTACTTTTGATATGTGATTTTTTTTTTTATTTGATTCGATTGGAAAGATCTGTTGCTGGCTTTTTTGAAATTGAAATTGAAATTGAAATTGAAATTGAAATTGTTTTTACAGGTTGATTTTGATTGTATGTGGATGTGGAAATTATGATTCTTCTGTAGATAAAATTTTTCGTATCTGCTATTGAGGATATATAAACATATCCTATATATATATATATACATATAATTGTGTTGGCACGAGAGGGTGCAGAGTTGGGGATTTTGAAGAGAAAATCAAGCAATAGTTATGGGATATCTCAATTCCGCTTTGTCATCTTCTAGCCAGGTTTATGCTGACGATGCACCCGTTACCGGTGGTGGTCTAAGGTAACAATTAAGACTCTCTCTCTCTCTCTCTATGTATATATATTCACTCTGTCCTACAATAATATTCCTTTTAGAATTCTAATTTTTTAGTGGTACATGTAATTATTGTTTTGAAATCAAATCAAAATATATTAATTCACCATATTGTTCCTTTTATTCGCGTTATTGAATATATTTATAATTAATTTTAAAGGGTAATTTGAAATTCTCTAGAGTTTTATGTTTTGACTTTTTAAAATAGACAAATATTTTGGGGCATTCAGAAAAGGGAAGATGGACAAATAATATGGGGCGGAGGAAGTTTTAGAAATGGTGGCACATGTGATGCATGTGCATAAGGTCGTTTTGTTTCAGAGATTGTGAAATGTATGCTTGAATTTAGAATTTGAAACATTTTATGAATGTGAAAAGATCAAAAGTTTTTTCTTTATATATAATATAGATATACTAGTTGTGGGTGCACACACGTTGCATGTGTGAATGTGTGTAGTTTAGGAATGGGAAAGATGGATAGTTGAAATTTTGAGTATTTGAATCAATTTTCTCACATAGATAGTTTTTAAACGGTCACGGGAATTTTTGGAAAAGCAAAATGTGTGACAAATCTGCACTAAGTCAGGTCTAGGCTTTATATAATAGTATAGATTGTGTTTGTGTTATTTGTCTATTGAAATGATTTTAGTCGGGATTTGGGGGTTGAATCCAACTTGTAGTAATAATGCATTTTGGATGATGTTGACGGTTGATGAAAGCTTCTTAATCTGCATATTAATTGTCATTAGTGATCTTTGTAGAATTGTCCATTTATTATGAATTTTGTTTTATTAATGATGTACATATATCACATTTGATTACCATGTTTTGTATAAGGGAGAAAAAATGAGGATTTTATATGGATTAGAATTTGTAGTGGTTACGAATTTGTGAGAAACATGAAAGAAAAAAGGAGTTATGTCTTAGTTGGATGTTATGAGTAGTTTTTAGAATGATTGAATTTGAAGTGGTCGTGTGAAACTTTCAGATTTACCGTCAACTTAAATGTTCTCCTTGGTCAAATGGCAGGGTTATAATAGAACTCAAAAAATATGATAGAGCTTCAAAAAAAGAGAATCTCTAACTCATATTTATGAGATGATAAAAAATGGCAAAGACTATGCCAAGAATTGGTTCATGTAGGAATGGATGTATTGGTTCACGTAAGAATACACGTAGAATACCAAAGAGAGTTATTCATGTTCAAGCAAGTTCCAATAATACCATTGTGACTATTATAGATGTAAGAGGTTGGGTGGTTTCTTGGTCCTGTGCCAGTGCTTGTGGATTTAGGGGTACAAAAGGAGGGACATGTTTTGAGGCATATCTATTTCTTCATATTTGGGCTTCTATGAAGTTTCTTTCTTTGATGCAACTTATAAAAATCGTTGTTTTAGACGATGCATATGGAGAAAGCCTATTTTCATTATCTACAAATAACCAAGTTATTAATGACTGGACGAAACCAAGAATTAACCCCTTATGTCTGAAATTATAGATCTTCTTTACGATCAAACAATTCCAATTAATTGAGTATGATTGTATGCGTGATAGCATCTAGTATGCCAGAAATATCAATGAACCCAATTATTGCATTTGCTCAGGATACCTTATTTTAGTTGCTAGGGTCTATTTCTTAGTTCAAGATCCCTCTTACTAACTGGAATAAAATAATTAGTAGATCTATTCCATCCAAAATGGAAATGGGCTAGGGTTATGAACTTATAATCTATAATCTGATGATCGAGTCAATTCCATGATTATAAGTTCATTCCATACCGGACTAGACCGAAATAGGAATACACATTCTCATTATGAGAAGGGGTTATTCGAGTGTATCTAAATAGATACTATGCTTACATATGGATCCCTACATTCCATTTAGGATTAGGAATAGATTTGGTCATTTTATTTCTATGTTTCCATACATAACCAAAGAATGGAAAAGATTCTTTCAGAGTCTTAGGTCCCAGAAGTGCACTTTCACGCAATTCACAGGGTTCAACAAACAATTGATATTTCACGATCAATGGTGTAATTCTCTCTGTAGTAGCGATCCCCCTTATGAAATTTTTGTAATTGGGTAAACCATACACTTCGCGTGTTTCTAGCGATTCACATAGCATCATCATGATCCTCTTATTTTTATTTCTTGAACCAAGAGATCCATGAATCAGGATCTTGATGCACCAAGAGAGGGTGTTCCATTACTAATAACAATCCTATTTGTTTGACACATGTCAACATCCTTATGAATAAACAAAACTATTTATGCAAGCTAGAAAATGAGAAAAGTCACGTAATCATACTTTGTCATGTCTGACATGGTTTAAATATCACCATGTCAACCAAAATGAGCGTGCAGTCTGAATATTAGAGATCTTTTGTCACGACCCAACCCTAGGGGCTTAGGGCTGGAATCGTAACTCACTACTTTATTCTAATCGTGGCAAATTAAATGGCGTAGGCCGAGGCAAAAGGAAATAAAAATAATTAAATAGAAAATTTACTTCATTTTACTATTTTAATAAGAGAAAATACATCTATAGGGTTTTTATTATGTTATTATTTTATTATTCAGTGACCGGCCCTGAGTAAAAACAAAAGGAAGCAAAAATAAAAAAAAGAAAAGAAAAACAAAATAGTGGTTCAACATTAAATTCTCGTGCGAGTTCTACTATGTGAGGTTATGGGTCTCCCTTACATCTCGTCACCTGAAAGGGTAATAGCTATAAGCACACAGCAGAGTGAGAAATATTATGCCAAGAGTATCGAGAATACAAAATAACCATGGATAGTTATTTAAGCTAAAATAGTAATAGAACATAATTTGAATAAACAAATGATTTAAAGTGGCAGAAACTGAAACACAGAAATTATGTAATTAAATAACTATAACCACGGTATAGAACAAAACAGATTAGAGGTCACTGGAGTGACTGTTAGAACAGAGGTCAATGGATCCATGACAAACAAAGAATCACAAAGTGGCCAAACAGAGGCCAATGGTTATTTAAGTCCCCCAAGGCATTGGATTCCCGTGGTGGTACTTACAAAACGTAATTGTTTATAAGGTCATCGTCAAATACTTTCTAAAATTTAAACAAACATATCCATGGGTTTCATTTTAAACAAATAGAGTTCAAAAAATGACCCATGTAATTGAAATATTATATAATTTATAAAACATAACTTGTATAAAATAAATTATGATAAGTTAAAACATGCGTAAAATATATTATAGTGACTCAAGATATAATATAAGTCACCTTAATAGTGAGTCTTACTACTTCCTTCCTATTTCCGTTGTTTTTTCCCGGCTCTTCCCTTGCTCTCTGTTTTTGTTGATTCTTTTTTTTTCTTCTTCAGTGTTTTTCGTTAACACTACTACACAGCACCTTCTTCCTTTTGTACATGTATCTAGGTGATGACTCATCCTACCTAATGGCCCTAAGGATGATGAATCACCTCTCCTCCCCTAATCCTAGGTGTACAGATGGCTTCTATTCATTCTTCTCAACATGTTTGCAAATCTTTATAATTAATTATTACTTAATTAACGTGGAAATTATTTATTATATTTATTTTATTTTATTTTATTTTTATTTATTATCTTTAACTCTAATTTGGCCCAACTAGTATTATAATTCCATATTTGTGTTAATTTGGCCCCAAATAATAATCCCTAATTAATCTCATATTTGATAACCCAATGCCAAATTAGATTTATATATTTATTTATTATTTTTTATTCATTTAATAATATATTATCACATACAATCATAATTATATTTATATACAGCTATAAATATTTATGTGGTATTTAATTAAACATTCAGGGTGTCACATTTCTTCCCTCCTAAATAGAAGTTTGTCCCTATACTTGAGGTACCGTAATTTTTGAAAAGGTGTGGGTATTTGGCTCGCATTTGACTTTCCATTTCTCACGTAGCTGCTTTGACTCGATGATTTCTTCACAAGACTTTTACTAGAGGTATAGTCTTGTTTCGGAGAACTTGATCGCGACGATCGAGAATTTGCACTGGTTGCTCTTCATAAGAGAGATCCTTTTGAACCTATAGGTTCTCATAATCAACATGTTCTGGATCTCGAAGATACCGTTGAAGCATCGAAACGTGAAACACGTGAACGTTGGATAGTTCAGGCGGTAGTGCAAGGCGATATGCTACAGGACCAATCCTTTCCAGTATCTCAAATGGCCTAATGTAACGTGAGTTTAACTTTCCTCGCTTTCCAAATCGGGTAACTCCTCTTGTTGGTGAGATCTTGAGGAACACATGATCCCTTACTTGAAATTCCAAGTCCCGTCTCCGTGTATCTACATAACTTTTCTGGCGGCTCTGGGCAGTGCGAATTTGCTGCTGGATGAATTGGATTTTATCACTTGTGATTTGCACGATCTCGGGGCCTAACAGTTTCCTGTCCCCGACTTCCGTCCAAAATAGAGGTGATCGACATCTCCTTCTATACAAAGCTCCGTACTGTGCCATTCCAATGTGTGCTTGATAGCTATTGTTATAGGCAAATTCTAGTAAAGGTAGGTGTTCATCCCAGTTACCTTTTTGAGGTCCAACACGCATACATGTAACATGTCTTCCAATGTCTGGATTGTTCTTTCGGATTGCCCATTAGTTTATGGATGATAAGCCGTGCTAAACTTCAGTGTGGTTCCCAAAGCTTCTTGCAATTTGTTCCAGAAGTGAGACACGAAGCGGGGGTCTTGGTCAGATACGATTGAAATTGGGGTGCCATGCAAACGAATAATTTCCTTGATGTATAAAGTGGCAAACTTATTAAGGGAGTACATGATTTTAATTGGTAGAAAATGGGTCGACTTTGTCAATCAGTCTACTATAACCCATACTGCATCATTCTTTGAAAATGACTGTGGTAGCCCGACCACGAAGTCTATAGTAATGTGCTCCCATTTCCATTCAGGAATAGAG